TAAACAAACACAAACACATATCAGCTGATATATCAGTATAAAATATTTTTGAAACCCTGATATTGACGTCAGCATTGCCGTTGTTTGTTTACTCACATTGTAGATTATATTTTAATTTTGCTCCAGAAGGATTTACACTGAGTCAACTCTGAAAATATTGATCATGAGGCAAAAAATGTCTCAGAATCATAATAAGGACCCTTCTGTGTTCCACATCTGCCCTCAACATGTCCAACTCAGAGCTATTTGTCTGCTAATATACTCACTGACAGAGAATCTGTGGACAGCTTCCTGCTCAGGATGCTGGCAGAGCGACGAGGCCCCGGATGCACTGAAGGCTCCGAGCCGCCGCCGCTCTTCTCCGAGACAACACTCTTCTCCGAGACGACGCTCTTCTCCGAGGTTTCTACTTCTTGCTCTTTCGGAACAAACGCACAATTCTCCTTCACATCAGCCGTATTCTCTTCGTCTGTGCCAGCCTCCAAGTGTAACTCATTAGAGGATTCATCGCACGTGTGAGAGGGAGTTTTGTAAACGTGGTTATCGTCAGACGACGGAAAATCAGGGGAAGTTGGCGGCGGCTCTGAATGGGAGAGGACAGAGTGTGGGGGCTGGTCTTTCAGGTCTTGCGGTGGCGTAGCAGGATCCTGGTTCTCACTATCAGAGCCACTGAAAACAGCCGTCTCCGAAAACTGATCCGGACCCGTGCTTGACACAAAGGAGGAGTCTTCACGCATGGAGTCCTGACTGCCCTGTCCGCACTCCCGAAACTCAGTCACCAAACTGCAGAGACAAAGACGTGACATTTAAAAAGTTGATGATAAATATTCTTCTTCTTTTGTCCTTAGTTTTTTCCAAACTCTATAAAAAAATCTATGTATTATATAGATGTATATAAACACAAGATGTTATAATTGTCTTTACAAATGCATCAGTTCAATTTAAATCAACATAACTTGCTATTAATCCCACAAGGGACAATTTGAGGAAGTGACATGACTTAAAATCAACCGTAACATACAAAGAGGAGGAAGAGTTCAAACAGACAGGGCGTGTATAATTTCCTGTAACAGCTGAGCGCTGTAGTTTTTAGCAAAAAGGAGTTCTGCTGTGTTTGGTGGGGACTATTTGCAGGCGCAGATTAATGCACAGTTGGTGCAACAGGATGTCGCATTAGGCTTAACTCAAAATAAACTAATGTGTGTGTGTGTAATAAGGAAAGAACGTGTCATCCAGTGCATTTAAGTGTCTCATTGATGTTTGCGGGGGGGTTTTGGACAAGAGTCGTCTACAGCAAAGGGAAAAAAGAAATAATCCACGTACAAAACTTAATTAGCAAATCAATTAAATGTTGGTTTTAGTCTTTTCATGGGATTTCGTTGGCAGAAAGATAAAAAAAACAAAAAACACAGACTTTACTTTTAACAATATGCAGGCAGGAATACTTACTCCTTTTGTGGTCTCTTGGTGCTGATGTGATTGGAAATGTCCAGGTCACATGAAGACCACTGCTCTCCTGTCGGGCTGCGGGGGTCCTGCCCCTGCAGGAGGCTGTCGGAACTCAAGCTGGAGGAGAGCTGAGAGGAGCCCGTGGTGTCCAGGCTGAGATTAGAGGAGTTGAGTGCAGTCCGATCCCCCTGTAAAGCACTTGACTCCCTCCCCACAAACAACACTGGACACCCTCTCTGCATATCCTGAGCATCCGACGAGCTCGATGACTGAGACACCGTATCCCACGACTCCTTCCACGTGGACCTGGAGGAGGGATGGTCCCCGCCGTTAAGGGTCAGGTCGAGCGTGTCTACCTGGGAGAAGGGGCAGAGTCCAGCGAGAACCAAAGGCGTGGTGGTCCACTCGTTGAGGACGGCGGACTTGTAAGACAGGTTGAATGTGAGCGAGGCCAGACCCTGGAGGTAGCTGAGCAGCACGTCCCGCTCCTCCGTGTTCAGGAGGAGGGCACTGGGCTGATAATGCACCCGCAGCTTGGAGTCCTCCCGGAACAGCGATGCGAGGTAGCACTCCAGCAGGCCGTGGTTGAGAGCCAGCCGCAGCCACGCTCGACAGCGACCCACGTCCGTGCCGACGAAGCTGATCTTCTCTAGCTCCGTGATGACATCACTGGGGATTGAAGAGAGAGTGTAGGGAAATGATCAAGATACATTGACCCCACTTTAACCATATTAGAGATATGATCATGTTTGACAATGTGTGCCGCTGTGCTGACTTACCGGTGGGTGACGGTCTTGAGGAGGCTCCAGAAGAAGGGCTGAGGGAGGGGAGCCCGGCCGCCCTTCCTGGTTCGTCCCCCAGTCTCGGAGCGGATGTACTTGCTCTTGATGCCGTGGATGAAGATGGCCTCCAGGGCGCAGCAGAGCAGGTTAGCGTCAGCATCCTCACTGGTTACGACTGCGTCTGACGTTACGAATCGCTTCTGCAGCGCCTTGAGGGACTGCGCCAGCTTCTCTTTAATCTACGAGACAACACAAGGGAGCAGGAAATGTCAACGTCCTTGTTTTTCTGGCGAGAAGTCAATTGAGTTGCTGTTGTGATGAGCAGCACGTTGGGAAAGTGACGGTAACTTCTGACACGAAGCTTGCTGTTATGAAATGTGTCCTGTTATTTACCCACATTGAACATGACACCCAAAACACAAAACAAGTCTGCGTTGTGCAATAGCTTGCAGAGTAAGGACACATCGTTTCAGCAACACTGAGACGATGATCTCTGTGTTCTCGACACTGAAGCACTCTTCTCTTACTGCGCTTCACTAAGCAGAACCTGAGACTCTCAGTGAGAAAAATGTGCAGAGGTAAAAATCCTCGTCTGCTTTTCCCAGACTCACACACATTCATTCAGAGCTCAGTACAGTGATGTAACACTGAAAACTGCTGAGTACAGTTACAACAGTGTCATCAAATACTACTTTACTATCACAGACTGACAATGTTCAGCAAAAAAAAAAAAAAAAAAAGACAAAAACAATCAAGTCAATTTCTGACTCTCACCAGAGTTGGAGCAGAAACAGTAAAAGAGAAAACAACCACGACACAGAAAAGTTTTGGTGCC